ATCCATGTGGGAGGTGGGTGGGTACGGGAGACGGAGATATCCTCGGAGAATGAGATAATGGCGGTAGAGGCCATCTCATCGGTGGAGGTGACGGAGATCTCATCGGTGGAGGCGAAGGAGATCTCCTAAGTGGAAGTTCCGGATGGCGCTCCTACACAGAGAAGACAATTAATATTAATAATCCGCACATGAATTTATAAGTCAAAATAAATAATGAACTTAAATAAACGTACTATATTTCTATCCGGAGCGGACTCAAATACTGGATCGTCTTCAGTAGGGGGAACAAGTAATTCACGTACATATATTGCATCCTCCTCTTCCATCGAGACAACCAACTCAACATAAACTTCGAGCTGACATACCATATTTCAATGTGTTAACGAACGTGTATCGACCCGAGTAAATGTATGTACAATATAAATTGCAAATATATAATACTCACCTGAGGATCGTCGAGGATAACTATCAAATCTTTAGCCGATGGCTTTTCATGTGCTCGCCAATGAAGCATTCGTGGGCAGCTAGTCTCCCTTCTGATCGCCCATTTGCTACCCAAAACAGGGATAGCCTCATATGCCCACAGCTGCAACAATTACAAAATAAAACTTTACATATATATTTAATAAAAAAGTTCAACACGCATTACGTTACACTGAATATTTACCTGCAAAGCCATGCAAAAGCCATATACATCATATTTGCGATCGCCCCTCTCCGATTTCGGCATAGTGTGTACCCTTCTGAATACATGGAGAGTATCGATGTAACATCTCTGACCCCATGGAAAGCTATTGAAAGCATCGATATCATCAACAACATCCAATGAAAAAAGATCAATCGACGTCCTACGATGTCAACACCTTAATATACTCTCCAGTATATACACCAACCCTAACTTCAACTTGTCTAACATGTGATCGCATTTCCTAAATGCGTCTTCTAACTGTGGTGGCGTAACTGGCCCTTTACCTCCAAAATATAAATCCAATAACCTTTTATTTCGTATAATACGGGTTCTAGCTTCTTCTTCCCCGGTACATCTCAAGCCCGTAATCAGGGCAAATTCAAGGATCGAGAATCTACATACCTTCCCGTCCCCAATAGCAAAATATAACTGATCGCCATCGACTGGTTTAAGCAGCCGGAGTAATAAAGAATCACAATCTGTCCAGAGAACTGCACGTCCTTCAACGGATAGAACGACCATAAAAATGATCGACGGAGTAAGTCAATATGCTCCTCGTCCAGCCCCTCAAGTACTGTCGCATAGCTGGAAAAGTTACAATACGTCGTAACTTTTCCCGAATGAGCCCTCAGATCGTTGTCGATATGATATTCCATCCTACAAAATTAATACATGTTAAAACCATATAAAAGAAATTTTAAATAAAATATCGTACCTTCAAATTTAACCAATCAAATTTCATATTAATAAACCAATAAATAAATTCATCTAATCACATATTAAAATAATTAAGCAAAAAAATTTCCACATATTTGACTATTTAATATTTATTTAAAAATTATATTTCGTTAATTATCTAACTCTATATATATATATTATTTACAAATTTATTCGATTTTTCGTTTTACAATTTTTTTAATTAATTATCTTAATTGATGAAGTACAAAAAATATTATTCAATTTCATTTATTCTTTAAATATTTCGTTAATTATGTATATTATTTATTTCGATTATTTATTTGAATAATATTTATTCGATTTTTTGTTTTACTATTTCTTTAATTCATTATCTTAGTTCGTTAAGTAAAAAAAATATTATTTTTTAATTTATTCTTTAAATATTTCGTTAATTATGTATATTATTTATTTCGATTATTTATTTGAATAAAAATAATAATATTTATTCGATTTCTCGTTTCACTATTTCTTTAATTAATTATCTTAATTGGTTAGGTAAAAAAATATTATTCAATTTAATTTATTCTTTTAATATTTCATTAATCATGTGTTTTATTTATTTCATATTTAATTACTCTATTTCGATTATTTATTTGAATAAAAATAATAATATTTATTCGATTTTTCGTTTCACTATTTCTTTAATTAATTATCTTAATTGGTTAGGTAAAAATAATATTATTCAACTTAATTTATTCTTTAAATATTTCGTTAATAATGTGTTTTATTTATTTCATATTTAATTACTCTATTTCGATTATTTATTTGAATAATATTTATTCGATTTTTCGTTTTACTATTTCTTTAATTCATTATCTTAATTCTTTAAGTAAAAAAAATATTATTTTTTAAATTTATTCATTAAATATTTCGTTAATTATGTATATTATTTATTTCATATTTAATTACTCTATTTCGATTATTTATTTGAAACGTATATTTAAGTAGAAAAGAACAAAAATTAAAACTCAATTTAATTTATCTTTAAATATTTCGTTAATTTTCTTAATATATTATTTCTTTTATTTTTCATTTTATTTCTTAACACGCACACAACAACAAAAAAAAAAAATATTATATATATTTGACGGACCCGGCCGGTTAGCCGGACCCGGACCAAAATCCGGGTCCGGTGTGGTCCGTAACGGACCAGATGGTCCGCTACGGATTGGTCCATAACGGACCGTCAGATGGTCCGTTACTGACCATACCGGCGGGCTCGCCGGAAACTCCATTTTCGGCGAGCTCCGCCCTTTTTTTTCAAGATTTTAACCTCAAATTCGATATTTTCTTACATTTTAACTATAGAAACATGAATTTAACCCATATTCATATCCTAAACATTCAAACTTTCACAAATTCAAAGTAGTTATTTATAGAAAACATGTCTAACCTTCAAGAAAATGACGGTCTCTGGCGAATCCGAGGTGGCTCTGGTCTTGGTCGAAGTTGGTGAGGTCCGGACAGTCCGTAAGCAACGTCGACGGTCGGTAGCTGATTTTTCCCTTTTTTCTTTTCTTTTTTCTCTCTATTTTCTCTTCTCTTCTTTCCTCTAAATGAGGGTATTTTCGACCCTACACATTTTGTTTACATTTTTTTTTTTTAACAAATAACTTGGTCAAAGGCTATTATGGAAAATATACCGGGTGGGACAGCCATTGCCCACCATTTCCTCTGTAAGCTGGCCCGACACCCACGGAAAAAAAAAGATTTTCTCTTGCTTCAATATTTAGCACGTGTTTGATTTTCATTATTTGAAAAAACACATTCTTAAACAGTATTTTAATATCATCTCAACCAGTCATTATTTAATAAAATAATATTACATGCAAATCCAATTTTTTTATTTTTTAGCCATACATTTTTTATCAATATACTATTTAAAGATTCATTCTTATCAAAAGTACTTTAGGCCTTATTTGAGTTACATTATTTGGAAAAAAATGCATTATTTAACAGCGATTTAACATTATTTTTATCATATATTTTTTAATAAAATAATATTATACTTAAATTCAAAACTTTTGATTATTTTTTAATCAAACACTTCTCATCAATACAATATTTAAAAATATATTTTCATTGCAATAATGTGGCTAAAACAAGCTTAATATATTATTATTAATTTATTATTTAGCACACGGAAGCAGCCCTCGGTACCTGCAGAGGGTTTAAGGAGCCGATGCCTCCGGCGAAAACTACACAAATCCCTCTCTCAAGATACGCAGACACAAGTGGACTGATTGACTTTATTGCATGCGATGGAGAGCACGAGGCGGATTCGAGTAGTGTTCACAGATGGTGATGTTTTGAGCGAAGCCCAGAAATCAGAGGGATTGAATCGAAGCTGGGTTTTACTGAAAATCAATGAGCAAAAGACCATTTCTGACGTTGTTTCTCATCTTCTAAGAACTTTTCAGCTTCAACATTCGTGCCCCCATGGGCTCCTCCTCTCTGTAATCTCGCCCTCCTCCCCTGTTCTTTTATGCGTTCACATATATACAAAACCCATATGCGTATGTGTCCTTGAGATTTATATAAATAACGGAAATGGTTGCGCGATCAATTTATATGATTTGGGTTCTGTTTACCGACTGAAAATATGCTTTTCGTTGTGCATTTTTGGACAATTTATGGGTTTTGGGCTTTTTCACAATTTAAAAATTTTGCAGCTGATTGCGATCTTTCTAACAAGTCTCGTTAAGGTGTATGGGTTTTTTGTTCGATTAATATACAAAACCTGTATATGATAATGAATGATTTATTAGGATAACAGAATATTGTCCTGTCTTGGCGATTCATATATTGTGGTCTCTATACAGTGACTGAAACGTGGTTACTTAGGTGAGATTATAAGTGTTTTTGTTTGACTGGTTGCTCATTTCTGGTACAATGCCGGTGCACAATTTTCGTTTTGTTAATTGAGTGAGTTGATCAGCTTTTTAAAGAAGATTTAATGGGTTATAACTGGTGATTAAAGTTGCTGTATAAACTCTTTATTCAACGTGTCTGGTTGACTATGGATGATCAGTGATCAACCAAAACAAGGTGTTTTTGTTTTTGGATTTTGTCCGATTCATTCATTTTGGTGAATAGTTTTTACCTTTCGTAAACTGGTTGGGGCTAAATTTCTCATTTCTTTTCATGTAGATTGATGGCTTTGTTTTGCCACCATTTGAATCAACCTGCATCCTAAAGGATAAAGATATAATCAGGTTAGTCCATTTTAGTAATATTTATTGTCATCAATGATAAAAAGAAATAAAAGATGGTGGCATTTAGTGAGTTTATTGAAAAATATGTAATCTAGATTTGCTCTGCTTCACACGTCAGAGTGAAGAAGAGAGGAAACACTTTGGTTGTGAAGGGAACCAATACTTCTTCTTTAGTTGAGAAATCGAAAGCTCTGGAGAAGCAACCTGTAAATAGTGGTGTCTTGCTTTTAGCCAATGAGGAGTTTGAGAAAGAAAAAGGAGGTTACGAGAGCGATGAACCTGAAGAGGAGGATGGAGAGCCAGTTAAAGATTTGGAAGGCACATCAGGTGTAAAAGATGTTTCCAAGAAAAGAAAAAGGAAAGCGGTAGAGGAATGTCAGGACTCAAAGTACAGGTTACTCTACAGTCTATGTTACACAAGTCTTATTATTGATACCTGCATGGTTGCACATACTGATTTTAATGGTCTCATGAATTATACGACACTTTTTGTTTGTGGATTACAGGAAGAAGAAGAAGAAGAAACAACAATCTGAGGCTCCTGATAATGTTGCATGTGACGTTCATACAGAAAAGATTAGATCTCATCAAAATGTTGTCAGAACGGAAAAGAAGAGCCTTTCCATAAAGGAAAATACAGATTTTAAGGATACAGAAAATGTTGAAAATAATGAAAACATGATAAGGTAGGTTTGTGTTTACTTCTTTCTCTGGAATGTTGTTTCACACCTTTTTTTTTTTTTTTTTTTTTTTTTTTTTTTTTTTTTTAAAAAAAAAAAAAAGT